ATTTTCAGTTTTATCTCCTTTTCTGAAGTCATGTTTTCCATATCTAGGATGATTTTCTTTTTTCAGCATCTGTCCTTATTTATGACTGAAGCATTACCAAAGATGTGCAAGCTCTGTGTCAGTGGTCTGAGTTTACTTTAGGGGCCTCACTTCAGGGTAACGGGATAAAGGCTCAATTCCTTCATGGGAGGAAGCCAACATTTCAACATACAGTTTGCTTTCCTTTGGGGCCAACTCATTTCTCCAGAACAGCATCTTCTTTTGTTATATATATAATTGCAATTCTTTTCTGAAAGTATTTTATTTATTTCTTATGTGCTGGGTCTTTATCTCTGCACAGGCTTTTTCTAGTTGTGGCGACGGGGAACCACTCACTGGCAGAGGAGTGGAAGTGCAGAGCTTCTCACTGTGGTGGCTTCTGTGGCCGAGCACAGGCTCCGGGGCACGTGAGCGTCAGCAGGGACAGCTGCTCCACAGCATGCAGGGTCTCCCCAGGCCAGGAGCAGTACTCCTGTTCCCTGCACTGCAAGGCCTGTTCCCAACCACTAGACCCCCAGAGAAACCCCAGAACAGCATCTTTTTATCTCTTCCCTCAGGAATATAAGCTCCCCTGTCAGCATTCATCTCACAAGCTTATTTCATCCACCTGTTTCTCTGTTTTCTACAAAGTACCTTGGCTCCACCCTGAACTGGTGCCAAGGAAACTCCTCACATGCAACTTCTGAAGGACCTTGAAATACTAACCCTCAGGCTTCAGGGACGTATCCATGAGGCACTGGGTTCGTCCAGTGCACTGGATTCAGATTCCAACACCAAGGACTTGAGTCCTCCCTCTTTCTAGGCTTGTTCTGGGGATCAAGTGACAGAATGGAGTAGAAACACACCGCACATCAAGAGGCACGTCACAAGTCTCAGACATTATTAACGCAAGTGGTGACATCGGGCAGGTATTCTAAACATCATTGATAGTTGCTTTCTTTTCCCAGGCAGGTCTACTTGAAAGGAAAATATAACTTAAATGAATCATGCAAGGATATTGATACAACTAAATTTGTTGCAAGCTGCTGAAGTTTTAAACTTTTCTATACAACCCTGAAATGCTGTTAATTTAGTTGCCTTGCTGCCCGACTGACAGAGCACTCTGGGCCTCTCCAGGGCCCTGCACACAGACAGCAACTCTGGCCCCAAACAGATGAGACTGGTCTTGGTCTTGATGCTTTGTGTGGTCAGCAAACCAAGGCAGGTTAATTGGGTAAGAAAATGGATGGATCAGCAAGTGAAGCTTGCTTTTAATCTAAAGGATCCTTCAAATAAATTCCTATAATCCATAATCAAAACATAAAGCCCTGACTTCTGACTAGGGGTTACAGCAAGGAAAAACAATGAACATATTTAATAATTTTAGTATTATTTTTGAATCTAATAAATTAATTCAAATTGAATTTAGAAAAGGCAGAGGAATCAGAGATCAAATTGCCAACATCCCTTGGATCATCAAAAAAGAAAAACTTTTGCTTTACTGACTATGCCAAAGCCTTTGACTGTGTGGATCACAATAAACTGTGGAAACTTCTTCAAGAGATGGAAATACCAGTCCACCTTACCTGCCTCCTGAGAAATCTGTATGCAGGTCAAGAAGCAACAGTTAGAACTGGACATGGAAAAACAGACTGGTTCCAAATTGGGAAAGAAGTACGTCAAGGCTGCATATTGTCACCCTGCTTATTTAACATATGCAGAATACATCATGCGAAATGTCAGGCTGGAAGAAGCACAAGCTGGAATCAAGATTGCCAGGAGAAATATCAATAACCTCAGATATGCAGATGACACCACCCTTATGGATGATGCTTTTGAACTGTGGTATTGGAGAAGACTCTTGAGAGTCCCTTGGACTGCAAGGAGATCAAACCAGTCCATCCTAAAGGAAATCAGTCCTGGGTGTTCATTGGAAGGACTGATGCTGAAACTGAAAGTACAATATTTTGGCCACCCAATGCAAAGAACTGACTCTTTGGAAAAGACCCTGATGCTGGAAATGATTGAAGGCAGGAGGGGTGACAGAGGATGAGATGGTTGGATGGCATCACTGACTCAATGGACATGAGTTTAAGTAAGCTCCAGGAATTGGTGATGGACAGGAAAGCCTGGCATACTGCAGTCCATGGGGTCTCAAAGAGTTTGACATGGCTGAGTGACTGAACTGAACTGAATAAATTAATTAATTACACTTGGATTGAATAAATAATTACATTTGGACAGGGCAACAGTTGCTCTTTAAATTGGTAGAATCTACTTTGATTGATGAAACTATGATTAGGGTTAAAGGTATTCTTCAACACTTAGAGCTTTTCATTTTAAATTCTTTTTTGTTTAGAATACCATATAGAACTTTAAGTAAAAAAAAAAAAAGATTTTACTCCACTGTTGCCCATCTTGGTACAAGTTCAATTATTGGTCACAATATGTTACCTTACCCTGTTCCATAAAATAAAAATCTAAATCTTTAAGTAAGCTTTGCAATCAGCCTTGTTGCTTTCTACAGGTGACTTCAGAGAGTGTTCTGGCCTAGCTCTGTATGGCTCTTGGCATAGAAGTGCCTCTGGCCCAGAGATTTCTTGCAGGAAATATAATCTGTTTTCAAGTTCAACTGGAAATTTTTTTTCACAATTTATTAGCTAATAATGATGAGTTAGATCAGAAATTCCCTCCTATTATTCTCTGTGTCTGTCTCATGCAGTAGTAGAGCCAGCATCTGGCTAGTGAGCACCTGAGACATGGTTGGTTCCATCCAGGAACTGAACTTCTAAATGTAAGCAGCCACCTGCAGCCACTGGAAACTGTGTTGGGACACAGCTGTCAGCTCTGTCATCACAACGGATCCGAGCCTCAGAAATCCGGCAGGGGCCTCATTTTCCAACAGGACAGTGGATAGCCTAAGATGTTTTTTGACAAGAGTCCCCTTTTATATCCACAAATATCAAGGATCGGTACACAGAAGTGTTTGTACTTTGAGCACACATTGATTGAGAAAATATACAAAATAAAAAAAGCGAATAAAACAATATCTTTTTTGGGTCTTCGTAAATGTGATCATTATTCATGCCAGCGGATGGCTGTGCTCCTGAGATCAAGCGTGTGTAAGGTGCGTTTTCTGTTCCCAGGTGGACAGGGCTTGTGCTCAAATGGATTCGAGGAACCCAGGGAGTAACTCTGCACTCAAAGGCTAGAAAGCATCCTTCAAGAACTGAAAGATGTATACATTAAAGAGGAATTGAAAGAGAAAAACAGCAAGGAGAAAACTGCATTAGATGTGGGGACACCTTGTAGTCAGTTAAGCTCCACAGGGTGGGGGTGTTTTCTGTGCTCTGGGGTGCGGATGCTCTCCTTCATCACCCCTCATCATTTGGCCTCAGATCTTAAATTCCCGCTATTCAGGGATCTTTCCTTCAGGAAAACAGAGTTTATCTTTGGAGCCCCTTTAAACCTGGAAAGTTAAAAACTAGAGCCCCTAAGTGGTTCACATTGGGCATCAGGGAACAGCTTTGTTTAAACACTGACACCCACCTGTGGCCGCAGAAACAGATGGACCCCCTTCCTGATGTTGCTGAGCCCCTCCTCCCCTCAGCCCAGTTTTGCAGGAGGTGTCAGCTTCACAAGCCACAAGCAAAGGCTGCAGGAGGGCTGCTGTGTCCGGACCGCTGCCCCCCTCCCTCTCCCAAAACCCACAGCGTAAGTGAGAACGTGCTTGTTCCTGTTGCAGAAACCGCAGCCACCGCCCCAGAGTCTCTGGTTCTGCAGCTCTGGGTTGTCTGCCGCCTGGCAGGGAGGATATTACATAATCATCTCTGCTGTAATTAAATATGAACTCCACAGCATGGATCCAGAGGAAAACATATTTGTGATTTTTAACCTGTTTTCCAGGGTGGTTCTGCTCCCCAGAGACATGGAGGACAAAAGAGAAGCATTCCTTTACTGACGAAGCAAACCCTGAGTTACTGAAAAGAAGATTAAATGCCGAACCTATACATTATGAGTTAGCTTCAAGTAATGTGCTCAAGGGCTTCCCTTGTGGCTCAGCTGATAAAGAATCTGCCTGCAATGTGGGAGATCTGGGTTCGATCCCTGGGTTGGGAAGATCCCCTGGAGAAGGGAAAGGCTGCCCACTCCAGGATTCTGGCCTGGAGAATTCCATTGACTAAGTCCACGGGGTCACAAAGAGTTGGACAAGACTGAGCGACTTTCACTTTTCAATGTGCTCAAGCACTGATGAACTCCATAACACCAGTTATTAGAATAAGTATTTCTAGATATTGCTCTAGACGGCATTAAAAGTGATCCCCCAAGTACTAAACCTTGACGTTCTGAATAAATGTGTTATTCTTCAGAACTGCCACATACACCTGGCCGCAGAAGGTAACTGCAGTGTAGGCTTTTTGCTCCATCCTGAATGATCAATGGTGTTTCATCAAGTAGTTCATGAAACCAGGCCATTCCAGGAGCAGCACGGCCTTGCTAACACCTGTGTGGCCTTGCTTCTTGTTGTTGCTGTGTAGTTGCTAAGTCGTGTCCGACTCTTTGTGACCCCCATGGACTGTAGCCTGCCAGGCTCCTCTGTCTATGGGATTCTCCAGGCAAGGATACTGGAGTGGGTTGCTATTTCCTTCTTCAGGGGATCTTCCCAACTCAGGTCTCGAAGCTGGGTCTCCTGCATTAGCAGCCAGGTTCTTTACCACTGAGCCACCATGGACGCCCCTGTGGCCTTGCTGGCATGGTTAATGAATGCAAACAAAGCACGGACCATTGACTGAAAATAGGTATTACTTTTTCTGTTTGGGAGTGGGGAGCCCATGAACAAATCTGAGACTGTGCACTAAGTTCTAGCTTCATGTTTAAAACAAAACCAAAGGGTAGCTCTTGCAAGTGAGGCCACAGAGAGACTGGTTCCCGACCCAGCACCCCTGCAGGGAGGGCCGTGCTCCTGGTGCACTGACATTTACCTGAATGAGGTTGGCAGCTGGGTTCCATCTTCTCTCAAAGTGTTTCTGGCGGTGCTGTTCTTGTACTTTTAATGCAAAACCTGAGCCAAGAATGCCCTGTGACAAAATACAGAAATAGTGCTTAAAAAAATTTCCCCCGAAAAGCATCATTAAATAAGACAAATATTAAAAAAAAACACAACCCTTTAAAAAGAGTCTGAGAAAAGACAAACAGTATGCAACCTATCCATCATCTCACTACTTACTAAACAAACATGAGTTCCTCTATTATTATGCCACTGGCCAATGTCAAGTGGTTGGACAAGAAACAGGATGATGTCTGTCCTTCAGGAAATCACCAGGTGCTGCCCTCCAGTCTCTTAGGGTGTAGGAGGAGGCCCCACAATTCCAAATAAAAAAACACTTTTGCGTGGCCTTCTCTGTGGCGTTTCTTTACACCTAAGTTAGAGAAAACAGGCCTATCCAGTGACAGATGAGGGGGATTTAAAATCTGGAGCTGTTACTGTCTCGTGGATGTGGACTAGGGAACTATTTTAGCATGTTGATGGCAACTACTACAGTTTATACTTTCTGTTCATGAAAGGGTGGGGGAATGATCTTATTAAATTTTAAGATCTGTTCATGATGCTATAATTCCACACCTACCAAAGGAAAGCAAGTAGGGAAGGACAGTTATTTAGATGAGACACACAGACACTCAGGTTTGGAGATGTTTCCATTTTGCCTATTTGTCCAGCAAAGATGAGAGCACAGGTCAATGCAAAAGCACATACTTATTTTCTCCTGAGTTTTTATTTTTTAAAGTGAATTAATTCACTCATTCATTAGTTTTTGTTTGCACTGGGTCTTCATTACTGTGAGGGCTTTCCCTAGCTGTGGCAAGTGGGGGCTACTATCTAGTTGCATTCTTGGTCTTCTCATTGCAGGCTCCTCTTGTGGAGCCTGGGCTCCAGGCACGTGGGCTTCAGTAGTTGCAGCTCTTGGGCTCGAGAGCACTGGCTCAGTAGCTGTGGCACACGGGCTTAGTTGCTCCTTGGCACCTGGGATCTTCCCAGATCAGGGATTGAACCCCTGTCTCCTGCACTGGCAAGCAGATTCTTCACCACCAAGGCACCAGGGAAGCCCCTCTCCTGGGTCTTAATCCTCAAAGTCTTAACACTCAGAGCACGCCTTGCCTTCTTGGTTCTCGCTCACCCATTAGGTCTGGGAGCTGGTAAAACTAGCTTGATCCTTCTGTGTTTATACTGGCTTTTTGGCTGGTTTGCCTTTTTCTGCATATCGTCTCCATCTGCCAAAATCCTGCTCTCTTGATATGTCCCCTATTTTCAGCTGGCCTTGGTCTAAATTTGTGGAATCAAGATGCTTCATGTCAGCCCCAGGTTGAGCTTGGTTTCAGAGTTCACTCAGTCCAGTCTCTGGGCTGTCTCTCAGCCTCTACTTTATTGGTGTGGGAAGCAGAGCCCCTCTGCTTTCAAGTCTGGGATTTTACTTGCGAGCTATAAATTACTAGCTTTTTATTAAACTTCAAGGAATCTAACCCTTAGGTTACAGCCAAGTATCTTACGAGCTGTAAGTAAGTTCCCTGCCATAGGTAAGGGACGGCTGTTTTTCTTTTCTTTATGTGTTTGAAGTCACTCAAAGACAGTAAGGGCTGTTGGAGGGGGTGGTGTGTCTCATCCTTGGGACGTGTTAGGTCTCAGTGGATGACAACTTGATGAGGATATTTTTGGGCTCTAGAAAACCTTTAATCTTCCTCCTTATCTTGAGATGGTTTAGTCACTAAGTCATGTCTGAGTCTGGAGACCCCGTGGGCTGTATAGCCTGCCAGGCTCCCCTGTCCATGGGGTTTTCCAGGCAAGAGTACTGGAGAATTCTACTTATCTTGAGATTCCACAATTCTGAGTACCTCTGTGATGACAACCAGGTAATAAATAACGCAGCTATGTTTAAATACAGTTATACGATGATACTATTGCTGTTAATGAGCAGTGACGGACTCCCTCATCAATCAGGACGCGAGGCTGTGCTGTGAAATTAGAAACGACGTCACAGGGTCTGTTTTCCATCGCTCTTTCTCAGCGACTGTCTCCTGCTGTCTGAGGTTTTCATCTCACGCAGGTTGTGACTGAACAAACTAAGCTTTATGAAAACCTGGTTTGTAGGATTTTATTCATGGATTTAAACATCTCCCTCCATTTACAGGTTATAAAAATGGACTTCAGTTTCCAAATCCAAAGCAACTCTTAGTTATTCACAACTCCAAAATTTCCTTCTGCTCCTTAAGACCATTTAGGGAAGGTTTATTTATTTTCCTTTTAATGTCATTTTTCATGAAGCTTAAACACATAAGAGACTATGAAACAGCAGAATTTATAGCATATATTTATATTATGTATTTATATTACATGCATAGATGTGTATAATCCACTCATAGGCAGCATAATTTAGTTTTTGCAGAAATTTAATTAACAGCAATGGTTACTATTTTTGAGCATTCATTATGTAAATATGAGGTTCAGAGTTAAATCCCTTTTGGAAAATGAAGACAGGCCCTGCATAACAGGCATTGAGCACCTGCCAAACAAACTAAAATGTGGTGAAGATCAGGCTGGCATTGCTTAGAAACACACACTAGTAGATGGCAACGTGGGCTGCAGGCCTCTTGATCCAGACTGTACATTACAGCAGTCCTGACACCGGCTCTGCTCATCGTCTGGGTACGGCTCCTGTCCAGCCCTCCTCCATCTCCCTCAGTCCTCAGCTCAGACACTGAAATACAAGTCTGTTAAAAATAAAGCCTGCTGTGTGAAATATAGCTAACGTGCCATCCCTTCAAATTGAGACTGGCAGAGACACATGCTCAGAAATTGAGTTTTGTCTTAATTCATTTCCTAAGGTGAGATAGACTTTGAGGTTTTAAGCTTTAGAAGTTCTCCATAAACATCAAATGGAAATAAGATGCCTTGGTAAATATTTGAAATATTTATCCCTTGTTATCTTCCAGGTTAAAAGAGCTGATTTGTACCCTGTACTTGGCAAACAGGTTAAAGATATTCTCAGCAAGAGAGAAGAGAGGGTCCGCAGGTGGAGACAGTCCGCCCAGGGCAGTGGCGACTTAGGCCACTTGTGCTTCTCGGCCGAGAATACTGGAGAAGTCTCCTTATCTTGAGGCCCTGGGATGGGGCCTTAGGGAAACAGACCCCAGCGGAGGTGGTGGCCTGCAAGCCTGTGTGATGTGCAGGAGAATGCCTGTGTGGTGTACGAGAAAATCCTACTTCCAGGGAAAGACAGGGACAGCTCTTCTCTCTCTTGGCCCTTTCTTTCCTGGGTGGAAGGCAGGCCCACCATCCACTCTGACTTTCTTAGCAAAGTGCCCGTGTTCCCCTAATTTCAATCCGACAGCACTGCTGCCGGCAGGTACACTGGACATACTGGTGTTTCCGGCCACCTTTTTTTCCCTTTCTTCTTTTATTAAAGGTAAACGTGAACCATCTTTCATTCATTCAGTAAGAACTCAGCACCTAGGCTGCAGTGAAACTCTCCATAGTAAAGTCTACTCTGCTTGGCCCAGTGAGGGGATGCTATGGGTGAGTGAGATTTTGATTTTCAACACTAAGTGATTTAATCTGCATATAGAATCATAATCACATTATTGGGAAAGCTTCTCAAGAATGACTAATTAGTCTGTGTCCCTTAACCTAACAGCAGTACAACTGACTCTGCCATGACGGTCCAGGGTTTCAGGATGGAGGCGGGCAACTTGCTGGGTGGGGCGCAGGCAGGGCCTGGAGACGGCTGACCTTCCTGCGAACTGGCCCAGGTCTTTACATCTTTGAACACTTGTCTCTGCTCTCTTCGGACAGGCTCTCTTTTCCATCCCTTGCTATTATCTCTTCCTGGTGTAGTGTCTGTTCTGCCAGCCTACTTTCACATCGCTGTTTATAATCATCGAAGAGGTGTGAAACTACAGAATTCACCTTATCAGACTCTGCTCTAAATTAAAGAGGTAATGAAAGACCTTGATCTCTCCTGGGAAGGCGGCGGACACTGTTGCCCTGCGAGTGAGTCGCCCCGATGTGGCCCCTTGCTGTGTCTGTGATTCTTCGAGGGATCACACGGGCTGTTATATGTGTGGCCTCAGGATGAGTATTGAACCCAACAGCGGCAGGTCTTTGGCGCCATTATTTTGGGAAAAAAAGCCCAAGACTGCATTTTGCTGTTTCTGAGGTGTTTTCCGGTAGGGAATCTGGTTGTCACGTGGGTGCTTGTTCGGCACGGCTGAGGTTGCCGGGTTCACGTGACTCTGGATGGACAGAGGCTGTCTGTCCACCTTCTCTCAGCAGGAAACACCCACATATTGTGAACAGTTTTCTTCGTGACAAATACTTGACTTACGTTACATCATTGGTCTTCAAAAACTTTCTCTGGATGCGATAACTATTCATACATGACGTTAATAAATGTACTCAGGGTCTTTTACGGGCTGACTTGTGTCCAAAATTTACAGGTTGAGCCCTAATCCCCAGGACCTCAGGGCACGACCTTTTTGGAGAAAAGTTCACACAGGTGATCAAGTTGCAGTGAGCTCACAGGGTGGACCCTGACCCACTGTGGCTGGTGTGTCCTTTTTAGAGGAAACCTGGGCATGGACAGAGGGAGACAGTGTGGAGACACAGGGCATAGACGGTGTCCATGAGGCCTGGACACATCCCTCCTCTGGGTCCCTCGGAAAGAACCAGCTCTGCCAGCTCCTTGGTTTTCAACTTTCACCTCCAGAACCACGAGAAAGAAAGAAACTGAAGTTGCTCAGTCTTTTCCGACTCCTTGTGACCCCATGGACTGTCGCCCACCAGGCTCCCCTGTCCATGGGATTTTCCAGGCAAGATTACTGGAGGGGATAGCCGTTTCCTTCTCCAGGGGATCTTCCCGACCCAGGGATTGGACCCAGGTCTCCCGCATTGTAGGCAGACGCTTTACCATCTGAGCCACCAGGGAAGTCCCAGAACCATGAGACAATTGAGTTATGAAAAGTCAAGCCAGATAGTCAGTCTGTGACACCTTGTTACAGCAGTCCTAGCAAACCAACACAATCATACTTGGGGAGCACGGGACCAAACCTGAATTCAAAGTGAGACCTGATACCCGAGCTCATGCATGGTCCCTGGGGACCCTTCTCTGACCTTGGGTGGTCTGGGGTGCAACCAGCCAGTCAGCCTGGAGCTGAGCACTGGCCGTGGGAAGGACAAAGGGTTCGGGCCGAGGTGGAGCCCCAGGAGCCTCAGGCTATGGTGCTGAAGGCCCCACCCCCTTGGCCCCTTGGAGGGGTGCCCTGGGGTCTCTGGGGCAGAGGCTGAGAGGTGAGCCTGCCTGTGTCTAGAGCAAGACAGAGGCTGTGGTTCCTTAAGTAGCACGGCGGCCGCGGCTCTAACACGCCTGCTTCTGGGCTCCTTTCCCTCCACGAGGGGTGGAGTGTGCGAAAGAGAGAGCTTGGGGATGGAGGCAAATTGTAATAAATATTTTCACGAACTGCCTTTGAAGACACAAGAGGATAAAACAACCAGAAAGACAGCCTTCATCCACTCAGGAGAAAATAATCAGAAGCTTAAGAGAAGATAAGTGTGCTCTTCATTCTGATATGATACAGAAACTGGTGGTTAACAAAAATCAATGATGGCACAAACAATAAATCATCTGACACTTTAAAGACCCCTTAAATCCATGTGCTTCTCACTCAACTGGATCCGAAGAGGTAAACACTTCACGTGGGCACATGAATCTCTTCGATAGTTCACACCTCGCACACTTAACTGGAGCCATCAGTTTAAGAGGAGGACAGCTTTAACTCTTCACACCTATTTTCAATGTATTAGGAGCATGTTGACTGAGAGGTTAAATGTCTCCAAGGGAAGACCATTTTTATAAATTATCCAACTAGCTATATGTAGAAAAGTAAACATTATACCAGAAAAATGATACCAGTAAACATACAGCTATGTTCCAGGGCATACTGTTTAAAGAAAGCTCATGCTAGTAAACCTCTACAATCCAATTGGAAGTGTTTAATTTTTGCAAAGATACTCACAGCAGGAAGTGCAAAAAAAGAAATACCCAGGAGCGCGAAGCCTGCTGACAGCAGCCTTCCCAGCCACGTCAGGGGGGTTTTGTCTCCATAACCGATCGTGGTCAACGTTATCTAAAAACAAATAAACAGGACGTGCAGCTTAAGTACTTGAGAGGAAAGTCAGGACCCAAGAACAGTTTCCACTAAATCATTATTCAAGCAGTCTGGCTGGCACATTTTATTACTGTGCTTTAATTTTCCATGACACATAACAGAACTTCTCTTTGCCTAAGGAAGGGAGTAACCTACATACTTGTTCCTCCCTTACAACACGATTTTCCATCTTTCCTAAGTGCATTCAAAGAAAGGCTAGATTAGTAAGTGGATTACCATCAGTGATACAGGAATGATAGCACCATGGCTTTAGGACTAGATCAGTACACAAAACAATAATTTATGTTACTTAAGTTTATCCACTCATTTCCCTGGCGGGCATTTCCTGAAGGCCTGGTGTGTGTAGGGTGTGTGCTTTGATTTGTAGTGGAACAAAAATGAGAGGTGCATAGCTCCTGTCCTGAGATATTTAGGGCATAAGAAGGGAAGTATGTCATACACAAATCATTAAAACACAAAATAGGTCAAGACAGGTATTATGCTGAAAGCACAAATAATCTGCTGCTCAAATTCAAAGAGATTAGTACCAGCTTGGGCGAGTTGCAGAAGCTTTGTTGGGAAGATGTCATCATGCCTAGGCTTTGAAGGAAGGGTAATGTTTTGAGAGACAGAGATGATGGAGTGGCCCAGGGAGGGGATACAGATGAGCAGCTGCATAGCAGTGGGATAAACAGGGTGGGTTTTGGAATGTGTGCTCAGCTGCACTGGCGCTAACCAGGGAGTGTCTGAGAAATGATCCCTGGGTCACGTCTCCCCGATGATAAGCTGCTCCAGGGGCTGCTGTGTGCCTTAGAGCAGAGTCCTGGCTGTGCTTCAGGACAGGCGAGGCAAGCCTGACCTGGGAGAATGGGGGGTGATGGAATCGGAACAGTGGAAGCGAGATGGTGTGAGGTGGAGAGTAAAGAGACAAGCTGAAGAAGAGCAAGGGCAGCACATCCATAGATCATCCAGAAGGAAGGTGGCGACGAAACCAAGAGGATTCGAAAATTCCAAGTGGAAGACGTGGCCCCATAAATAGAAAGACGATAACAAGAAGGAGAGGGTTTGGGAGCAAAGATGAAGAGTGACTTTCAATGACGGCTTTTCAAATATCAGTACGTGGCTGATCTAGACATTCCGTGTGTACATGTGTGTGAGCTCAGTCATGCCCGACTCTTTGCAATCCCATGGACTGTAGCCCACCAGACTCCTCTGTCCATGGAATTTTCCAGGCAAGAATACTGGAGTGGGTTGCCGTGCTCTCCTCCAGGGGATCTTCCCGATCCAGGGATCGAACTCTTGTCTCTTATGTCTCCTGCATTGGCCGGTAGGTTCCTTACCACTAGCGCCACCTGGGAGGTCATGCTAGCAAGGAATTAAGAAGGAGAGCTTGAGTCTTAAGACTTGAGGTTGGCTTGAGATGTGGATTTTGGAATCAGGTGCTGAGTGACTGTGGAAGCTCTGTGAAGACATGAGCAAAGAGTGTGAAGAAGGGGTGCAGGACACCTCCTCAGGAAACCCACATATTTAAGGGGCAGAAGGAAAAGGAAAGCCAGAAGAGAACATTGTTTCAAAAGTAGGGGGACTAGGAATGGGTTATGTAAATGGAGACTCAACGGAGGAGAGAGCTTCACAGAAGACCAGGTGAGCCCCAGTGTCGCAGGCTCGTGGAAAACAAGGAGCATGAGGACTGAGAAGAAAGGTAGACACAGGGACAGGGTCACCAGCGGTTTCTAACAGCAGCAGTCTTGGCCATGTCACCTTCCCCAGCCTTGGAGGAGGGAAACCTGTTGAGAGGCAGAAATGGTAATGGAAGGGACACTGTGTGCTGTAAACCCTCCAGAAGCATCCAGCTCAGATGAACCCCCCCCCCCCTTCCTAGACTCTCTTCTCACCTTACTTTCATGGTTTTCCCTTTACATCTTTGTTGTTGTTGCTGCTCAGGCATGTCTGACTCTTTGCAACTCTATGGACTGCAGCATGCCAGGGCTCCCTGTCCTTCACTATCTCCCAGAGTTTGCTCAAATTCATGTCCTTGAGTGGGAGATGCCATCCAACCAGCTCATCCTCTGTCATTCCCTTCTCCTCCTGCCCTCAATTTTTCCCAGCATCAGGGTCTTTTCCAATGAGCCAGCTCTTCACATCAGATGGCCAAAGTAAAGGAGCTTCAGTCCTTCCAATGAATATCCAGGATTGATTTCCTTTAGGAGCGACTGGTTTGATCTCCTTGCAGTTCAAGGGACTCTCAAGAGTCTTCTCCAGCAACACAGTTTCAAAGCATCAATTCTTTGGCTCTCAGCCTTCTTTATGGTCCAAATTTCACATCCATACATGCCTACTGGAAAAACCATAGCTTTGACTATATAGACCTTTGTTGGCAAGCGAAGTCTCTGCTTTTTAATATACTGTCTATTTGTCATAGTTTTACATCTTTGGTGACTTCTTTTACGTGGCTCATCCTACACCAGTCAACCTTCGAAGAGTAGATTCTTAAGGTTTGCTTCCGGGTCTTATTCTCTTTTTTGAAAAATTCTGTTCTTTAATTCTTCCTTTCTCTTCTATCTCCTCTTTTCTCTCTCTTGCCAGGTGATCTGAAATGTTCTCAGGATTTAAATGCCATTTTTATGAGGAACACACTGAGTTTCTACCTCCAGGTCAGACCACTCTTTTGCACTCTGGATCCACACATCTGCAACTGATACTTCTCTTTGGATTCTGCCCAGTCATTTAAACTGAATATATTTAAGACAGAACTTCTATTACCCCCAGCCTGCTGTGCCAGTTACGTCCCTTCCCAATCAAGAACATCACTGTCAGGAATTCCCTGAAGGCCCGGGTTCAATACCTGGTTGGGGAACTAAGATCTCACACACCTCAGGTGTGGGCTGCTCAGTCAGAAGCCTCGAGGAACCCTTGGTGCTCCTGCCCCACAGGCCTCTCTCTGAACCCCTCAACAGGTTATGATGCTTCGATATTCCCAGCCCACTCCCTTCTCTCTGTCCTCACGGGCACCATGGCAGATTAGGCTCTGTAGCAGTCACGTTTAAACGGTACTTTTCTCAGTTTTATTAAAGGATGGTTGACGTGCATCACTTTTCAACATGTATATACTTGGTGGTTTGATTTACATTTACTGTGAAATGATGACCACAGCAGGGTTAGTGAACATCCATCATCCCACAGAGATACTATGAAAGGGTAACACTTTTCTTTTTGTGATGAGAACTCTTAGGATTCACTCTCTTCGCTTTCCTGCATATCACATAGCAGTGTTAACTACAGTCACCTTGTGATACTGACATCCCTGGGGTTGGTTTATCTTATAACTGGAAGTTGGTACATTTTGACCACCTTCCTCCACTCTACCTCCCATACCGGCTGTAACCATAAATCTCATCTCTTTCTGTTTTTTTAATTAATTTATTTTTTTAATTGAAGGATAATTGCTTTACAGAATTTTGCTGTTTTCTGTCAAACCTCAACATGACTCAGCCACAGGTATACATATATCCCCTCCCCTCTGAACCTCCCTCCCATCTCCCTCCCCATCCCACCCCTCTAGGTTGACACAGAGCCCCTGTTTGAGTTTCCTGAGCCATACAGCAAATTCCTGTTGGCTCTCTATTTTACATATGGTAATGTAAGTTTCCATGTTACTCTTTCCATACATCTCACCCTCTTCTCCCCTCTCCCCATGTTCACAAGTCTATTCTCCGTGTCTGTTTCTCCATTGCTGCCCTGTAAGTAAATTCTTCAGTACCATTTTTCTAGATTCTGTATGTATGCATTAGAATATGATACTTATCTTTCTCTTTCTGACTCACTTCACTCTGTATAATGGGTTCTAGGTTCATCTACCTCATCAGAACTGACTCAAGTGCATTCCTTTTTACGGCTGAGTAACATTCCATTCTGTATATGTACCACAGCTTCTTTATCCGTTCATCTGTCGATGGACATCTAGGTTGCTTCCATGTTCTAACTATTGTAAATAGTGCTGCAATGAACAATAGGATACATGTGTCTTTTTGGTTTCCTCAGGGTATATGCCTAGGAGTGGGATTACTGGGTTATATGGTGGTTTTACTCCTAGTTTTTTAAGGAATCATCATCCCATCTTCCATAGTGGCTGTATCAATTTATATTCCCACCAACAGTACAAGACCATTCCCTTTTCTCCATACCCACTCCAGCATTTATTGTTTGTAGATTCTTTGATGATGGCCATTTTGACCAGTATGAGGTGGTATCTCATTGTAGTTTTGATTTGCATTTCTCTAATAATGAGTGATGATGAGCATCTTTTCATGTGTTTGTTAGCCATCTGTATGTCTTCTTTGGAGAAAGGTCTGTTTAGATCTTTTTCCCACTTTTTAATTGGGTTGTTTGTTTTTCTGGTATTGAGTTGTATGAGTTGCTTGCATATTTTGGAAATTAATCCTTTGTCAGTTGTTTCATTTGCTATTATTTTCTCCCATTCTGAGGGTTGTCTTTTCACTTTGCTAGTTCTATGAAAAATGCCATTGGTAATTTAATAGGGATCACATTGAATCTGTAGATTGCATTCGGTAGTATAGTAATTTTCATAATATTGATTCTTCCTACCCAGTAACATGGATTATCTCTCCATCTGTTTACGTGGTCTTTGATTTCTTTCATCAGTGTCTTATAATTTTCTGTGTACAGTTCTTTTGTCCCCTTAGGAAAGTTTGTTCCTAGATATTTAATTCTTTTTGTTGCAATGGTGACTGGGATTGATTCCTTAATTGCTCTTTCTGAGTTTTCATTGTTAGTATATAGAAATGCAAGTGATTTCTGTGTATTGATTTTGTATCCTGCAATTTTGCTAAATTCACCGATTAGCTCTAGTAATTTTCTGATACTATCTTTAGGGTTTTCTATGTACAGTATCATGTCATCTGCAAACAGTGAGAGCTTTACTTCCTCTTTTCTGATCTGGATTCCTTTTATTTATTTTT